TTGAGGTCAGCCTGCTCTACAGAAGGACTTCCAGGACAGAAAGGACTACACAGAGAAACCATGTCTCAAAGGGAAAACAAAACAAAACAAAAAAATCTCAAGAAAAGTAACTTCGGGGAGACAGAATTTATTTTGGTTCTTAGCTGGGAGGCAAAAGTCCATTGTTTTGAGCAAGTCCTGGTGGTATGCATTTGTGCCAGGTGGTCAGGAATCTACAATCAGGGCAGACAGCTGTGAACCCTATTGTTTAGCTGCCTTTTCTCCTTTTTATGGTCCAGGATATCCAAGCCCAGGGGGTGGGGGTGGGGGTGGGGACTCAAATATGGGATAGTGCCTTCTCAAATCATTTCACCCAATCAAGGTCAGCCCTCACAGGCATGCCCGGGGCTAACAACCTAAGTAGCCCTCCCAGTATGTCCCGAGGCTTGTCTCCTAGGTTATTCCATTGGTAATCAGCCCTAACCATCACAAACTCTGAAAGTGGCCAGGCCTTGGTGGTGCACGCCTTTAATCCCAACACTTGGGAGGCAGCAGCAGGCAGATCTCTGGGAGTTCGAGCCCAGGCTGGTCTACAGAGTGAGTTCCAGGACAGCCTCCAAAGCTACAGAGATACCCTGTCTCAAAAAAACTAAAACAAACAAACAACAATAACAAACTCTGAAAGTGGATGAACACCCATGGAAAAGAAGCCAACTCTCCTGGGATTGAGGAACAGTAGCAAATTTGATTTTGTTCTGGAAAAGAAAAGGTGCCAAGTTATCAGATAAAAATAGCCAGATAAATCTGGTGGTGGTGGCATACACTTTTAATCCCAGCATTTAGGAGGCAGAGTCAAGTGGATCTGTAAGTTTGAGGCCAGCCTGGTCTACAGAGTTCCAGGACAGCCAGGGCTATACAAAGAAACCTTTGTCTTGAAAAACCAAAACAGGGGCTGGAGAGATGGCTCAGAGGTTAAGAGCACTGACTGCTCTCCCAGAGGTTCTGAGTTCACTTCCCACAACCACATGGTGGCTCACAACCATCCGTTATGAGATCTGGTGCCCTCTTCTGGTGTGCAGATGTACATGGAAGCAGAATGTTGTATACATAATAAATAAATAAAATCTTTAAAAAGAAAAAGAAAAACCAAAACAAACACAACAACAATAAAACCCAAAACCAAACAAACAAAAAATTGTCTTAGTGTTCTATTACTGTGAAGAGACACCATGGCCAAGGCCATTCTTACAAAGGAAAGCATTTAATTGGGGCTTGGCTTCAGAGGCTTAGTCCATTATTATCACAGTGAGGAGCATGGTGGCAAGCATGGCACTGGAATAGTAGCTGAGAGCAACATCCTCACCTGCAGTCCCAGAGATTAAGATTACACCAGCATGGGCCTACCTCCAGTGGAACACTTCCTCCAACAAGGCAACACCTCCTAATCCTTCCAATCTTATAAAGAGTTCCACTCCCTGGTGACTAAGTATTCGAATTTGAGCCTGTGGGGGTCATTCTTATTCAAACCACCACATTATATGAAGGTGTTCTGTAGAGAAGGTGCTTGAACACACATCTAAAGTAGCAGTAGTCCATGGAATGAAAGCTTTTTCCTTCCTTCCTTCCTTCCTTCTTTCCTTCCTTCTTCCCTCCCTCCCTCTCTCCCTCCCTCCTACACCTGTGACCTGATCGTTGTCTATTTGCAGGCTCCAAAAATCATCATGTTTGTATTCCAGGCAGAGGGGAGCATGCTCTTCTCTCCTAAAAACAATCTCAAAGTTGCACAGGTCACTTCTGCTCGAATTCCATGGACCAGATTATAGTTGCAAGAGAACCTGGAAAATACATTTTTTTTTTCTTCCTGTGGCTTTGGAGGCTGTCCTGGAACTAGCTGTTAGACTGGTCTCAAATTCACAGACATCTGCCTTCCTCAGCCTCCTGAGTGCTAGGATTAAAGGTGTGTGCCACCAACACCCGGCCTAAAATACAATTTTAAATTGTGGGTTCATGACTACTTATGGTACCACATACCTGTGTCATCAGCACTTGGAAGGTAGAAGCAGAAAGATCACAGGCCAGCCTGAGTGACAAAGGGAGATGCCATCTCAAAAACAAAATCAAGACTTTGGAGTGTATAGCTTGGATGGCTTACCTACAGTGTTCAGGGGCCTGAGAGTAGTTTCAACACCACGCACACATATACATACACACTTAAGAGACTTAAGTGTTCTCTAGGTGTGAAATACATTCCTATAATCCCAGAAAGCTGAGGCAGAAGAATCACAAGTTTAAGGCCAACTTTAGACCCTGGTGCAAAGTAAAAGAGAGAAATGGGCTGGAGTTATAGTTTTGTTGTATAGTGCTTGCCCAGCATATACAATCCCCCTGGTTCAGTTATCTGTGCTCTATCTATCTATAATCTATCCATTATCTGTTTATTATCTATCTATTATCTATCTATCTTCGGATCCATCCATCTTTTTTCACATTTTTTTATTTGAATTAGAAACAAGATTGTTTTATATGACAATCCCAGTTCCCTTGTCCCTCCCGTCCTCCCCTACCACCCCCCCAACTAAAACCCTACCCGTGGAGGGTGAGGCCTTCCATAGGGTGTCATCAGAGTCTATTGTATCCTTTGGGATAGGGCCTAGGCCACCCCCGAGTGTCTTGGCTCAGGGAATATTCCTCTATATGGAATGGGCTCACAAAGTCCACACCTATGCTAGGGATAAGTACTAAACTACTACAGGAGGTCCCATAGATTTCCAAGGTCTCCTCACTGAAACCCACGGTCCTGGGGTCTGGCTCAGTCCCATGCTGGTTTCCCAGCTATCAGTCTGGGGAGCAAGAGCTCCCCGATATTCAGGTCAGCTGTTTCTGTGGGTTTCACCATCCTGGTCTGGATCCCTTTGCTTTTCACTCGTCCTTCTCTGCATCTGGATTCCAGTTCAGTTCAGTGATTAGTTGTGGGTGTCTGCTTCTACTTCCACCAGCTGCTGGAGGAAGGCTATCGGGTAGCATATAAGTCAGTCATCAATCTCATTATCAGGGGAGAACATCTAAGGTAGCCTCTCCTCTGTTGCTTAGATTGTTAGCTGGTGTCATCTTTGTAGATCTCCAGACATTTCCCTAGTGCCTGATTTCTCTGTAAACCTAAAATGTCTCCCTTTATTATGGTATCTCCATTCTTGTTATCTTCTATTCTTCCCCAGACTCAACTTTTCTGCTCCCTCAGGTCCTCCTCACTCCTCCTCTTCTCACCTTCTCATTCTCCCAGCTCCCTCCCCACCTCCTCCCATGCTCCCAATTTGCTTAGGAGATCTTGACCCTTTCCCCTTCTCCAGAGGACCATGTCTGTCTCTCTAAGGGTCCACCTTGTTTACTAGCTTCTCTGGCAGTGTGGATTGTAGGCTGGTAATCCTTTACTCTATGTCTAAAATCCACGTATGAGTGAGTACATACCATGTTTGTCTTTTTGTGACTGGGTTACCTCGCTCAGAATGGTTTCTTCTAGTTCCATCCATTTTCCTGCAAACTTCAAGATTCCATTGTCTTTTCCTGATGATTGTGGTATATTGTGTAAATGTACCACATTTTCTCCATCCATTCTTCAGTTGAGGGGCATCTAGGCTGCTTCCAGTTTCTGGCTATCACAAATAATGCTGCTATGAACATTGTTGAACAGATGTCCTTGTTGTATGAATGTACTTCTTTTGGGTAAATGCCTAAGAGTGGAATTGTTGGATCTTGTGGTAGACTGATTCTCATTTTCCTGAGGAGACGCCATATTGATTTCCAAAGTGGCTGTACAAGTTGGCACTCCCACCAGCAGTGGAGGAGTGTTCCCCTTTCTCCACATCCTCTCCAGCATAAAGTGTTGTTGGTGTTTTTGATTTTGACCATTCTGACAGGAGTAAGATGGTTTCTCAGCGTTGATTTGATTTGCATTTCCCTGATGGCTAAGGATGTTGAACACTTTCTTCTGTGTCTTTCAGCCATTTTAAATTCCTATATTGAGAATTGTCTATTTAGTTCTGAACCCCACTTTTTAATTGGGTTGTTTGGTGTTTTGGAGACTAGGTTT